CCGTTTTAAAAAATAAAAAACCAACAGCAAAGTAATTAATTGAGAATTTAAAGCAAGCTTTGCAAAAGGGATGGGACCCATTACTTTGATGGGTCCCATAATCACGGGCTTTTAATGGTCACGCATACGCCATTGGTTACGTTAGCCTTAGAGGTTTGAAAGAGTCAAAGATGAGGGCTGGCTGGAGCTTGGGGTTTGCTTTGCTAACAAGTTAGTCAAAGTCAGCTCTTATATATATATATATTAGTACTCTTATTGGATAATGGATGCTGCCTGGTTGCTCCCTTTTGTGGGTCCCTTTCCTTGCCTACCTCCACCATTCTTACCGTGTTGCCTCCTGTCCATCGTCCAGACACCACTTCAACCATTAATTCTTCTGATTCTTTTGATTTTATAATTTTTAATAATTTATCATTATTCATGATTATAATATCTTTTAAAAAATATTAAATAAATTAAAAAAACAAAACAAAACCTTAAAATATATCAAAATTTTAATTATAAAATTATTAATACCATAAAAAATATCTCAACAAAAAAAATTAAATAATATTAAAATAATCATCAATTATAACTTAAGTGGGTTATATTTGATACCCTCAAATGAAGAGTGGCCTCCTTGTATTAGAAAGTAATAAATATATATCAATGATGATCTTTTTGAGTGCTAATAAATTTATTTTATTGAAATATTTTTAATAATATTAATAGTATTGTAATTAGAATTTCGATGTATTTTTAAGTATTTTTTGTTTTTTTCTCTTCTACCCATTAAATATTTTTTAAAAGTTATTTAAAATTATCATATTTCAGATCATAAAATTGAGAGTTTAATCGATTATTATTTGATTTGGGATGTATTTTTTAATATTTAAAAAAATTATTGTAATTTTTTTATGTAAATAATATTTTTACTAGTTAGGTTGTTTTTAAACTTGTTAAATTAATTAGATTATATATTTAAAATTTAGATGGTATAATTTTAACTAAATTTATATTTTTTAATTAATATTTTAAATTATATATATAATGAAACTAAAATTTACCGTTTAAAAAAAATAAAAAACCAACAGCAAAGTAATTAATTGAGAATTTAAAGCAAGCTTTGCAAAAGGGATGGGACCCATTACTTTGATGGGTCCCATAATCACGGGCTTTTAATGGTCACGCATACGCCATTGGTTACGTTAGCCTTAGAGGTTTGAAAGAGTCAAAGATGAGGGCTGGCTGGAGCTTGGGGTTTGCTTTGCTAACAAGTTAGTCAAAGTCAGCTCTTATATATATATATATTAGTACTCTTATTGGATAATGGATGCTGCCTGGTTGCTCCCTTTTGTGGGTCCCTTTCCTTGCCTACCTCCACCATTCTTACCGTGTTGCCTCCTGTCCATCGTCCAGACACCACTTCAACCATTAATTCTTCTGATTCTTTTGATTTTATAATTTTTAATAATTTATCATCATTATTCATGATTATAATATCTTTTAAAAAATATTAAATAAATTAAAAAAACAAAACAAAACCTCAACGATATATCAAAATTTTAATTATAAAATTATTAATACCATAAAAAATATCTCAACAAAAAAAATTAAATAATATTAAAATAATCATTAATTATAACTTAAGTGGGCCATATTTGATACCATCAAATGAAGAGTGACCTACTTGTATTAGAAAGTAATAGACATATATCAATTATGAAATTTATTTTATTGAGATATTTTTAATGATATTAATGATATCGTAATTAGAACTTTAATATATTTTTAAGGTTTTTTTTGTTTTTTCTCTCCTATCCATTAAATTGTTTTTTTTAAATATTGTTATTTGAATAGTGTCAATTTATAAAAATTATATTTAAGTTATATTTTTCTAAAAAAAACTTTCAATTATGTTATTTCATCAATATTTTTAAAAAAAAGAATGTCAAGAAAAAATAACCAATTCTTTTATCGAAAAATCTAGTAGGCTTCATGTCTAAATTTTATCTATTTAATTTTAATTCCTTTAAAAAATCTTAATCAGATCATCTGTTCATGTTTATTAACTTTAAAAAAAAACTTTCTTTAAAATTACATATATAGTTTTATTGCATAAGCACATGAACAGTTTAAGACAATAAATTAAAATAAATGAAAGAATTCAATTGAAAAATGTGAGAAATGTTTAAGATCTACTTAATAATATTTATAAGTTTAGTTGAACCAAGCCTAGGTTCTCATCATTAATTTTGACCAATGAAGGTGTTTTCAAGTCGATTTTTATGAGTTGCAATTTTATTTTACATGGATAAATTTTTATAGGTATCCTTTTCTTGGATCCAAACCTAATAATAATAATATAAAAATTATATTTATTAAACATGACTAATTTAGACTCAGAAAATCTCAAATTCAAGACCTAATTTGAATTGAATTTTTAATTAAATCAGATAAGATATTAAATAAGCTAAATTTATTTAATGTAACCAAAGGTATAATAATACAATTAATTCGACCGAATCAACACTAAAAAACCGAATAATCCATGTTGACTACTAGATTGTTTTTTTTTCCAATCAATATCATATTAGGTCTAACAAATATATAGAAACCCTTTCACCATTCAAGTTTATCTTGATATATGGAAAAATTAAATAGTTTTGAAAGCTTGAGAGATGAAGACATTTTGCTTAACGCACAAGGTGCATTTAAAAGAATATAGACGTCCACTAAGAAAATGTCGACGCTGCCTATTCACCGACCAACCCAAGATGTCTATCTTGTGTTCACATCCCCTAAAGGTGCTTTTGAGTTCTTCTCGCTAACCTATGTTTTGTACTTTTGTTTAATTTCTTTGATACCCAGAAGATTTTTATTCATTTTTTAATTATTTTAATGGCCATGTGCATGAAGCTACCTTGATTGATGATGAGATCACCATCAATATTATTATATATGTATATACTGTTTAGGAACGAGATGTTTAGTTTTTTTATTAGAATTAATTTTTTTATATATTTTAGATATTAAAAATAAAAAATTATTATTTTTATAAATTTCAACATAAAAATATTTTAAAAAATAATTACAATTATACTTCTCAACAATGAGCTGGTAATATCGGCAGCTACCACCCAACCATTGCAATAGCAGCACACAATGGGACACTCGCTTGCTTCTTGTGAGAGAATTGCTAATAATTTATTGGTTTTGATCTTTCATGGGAAAATTGATAGAGATTAGATCATAAAGGGCTTTGGATTTGGTTGCTTGTTCGAGTTCTTGTTCCCATTGATTTGAAGTAAAATTGCATTCAATAATGGAGGAAAAAGCATAATGTTTTTTTAATAGAGATAAAAGAAAACTACATGATTTAATTCGTGGGGTGAGTGAGTGAGGATGTTATCATAAGAATTATTAAAAAAAGCTTCAAAATAAACCAAATTAAGGGGACAAAATATTATTTTTGAAATGGATGGGGACAAATTCATTAATATCATCAAAAATATATTAAAAGCTTGAAAGACAAAATCATGATATTTATAGGGTGCCATGGCCATGCACACCCCCCCGTGATGGTGTGGAAATATATAATTCAATTCTCCAAAGCAATATTCATTACATAATTGCATAGCTAAAGTTGACTATTATTTTTTTTTAAATTCATTTATAATTCCCTATGGTCAATTTTAAGCCAAGATTTATCACGAAAGGCCGTAACGTGTACCCATCACTTATGGTTTACGAGTCTCGAGTATTTTCAAGTTGTGTTTTCGTAAAAGGCAAGAGCCAGGTTCGCATTAACTTTTAAAAAAAAAAAATCATGATTGACGGTCCTTATGATTACTCTTTTATGTTCGAGATCATGATCTTAAAACATTGGAGTTTGGAGCTTTCCATGATTGACGGCCCTTGTGATTCGCTTCACCATAATTTGGGTTTGAAAACCTAAATTCGTTATTTTTTTTAAGGCATTATTCAGTGATTTTAAGGATGTTCCTCTTGATGTGGTATATAAATAATTATTAGATGATATCTATATATTGCTTCTTTAATAACCACACGTAATAAAGTTGTGTTTTTTTTTTTATTATTTTGTTTGATAGCCCAAATCTTATTCATTTGTCAATATTTTTTTTATAAATCAAAATATTCAGACTAATTTATACATACAATGACTAATTTTTAAATTTACTGAATACTCTGCAAACTTAATAGATAGGTAAAACTGAATACTCTATAAATTTAATAAACAAATAAAATATCATGAAAATAATAAATATACACATATAAATTCAAATCTAAAATACAAAAATAAAAAATTTTCTACTAGAACCTTAGACGACAAACCTAAATACTCATTTACCAATATTTTAATGGCCATAAAGCTACATAGAGGGATCATAATGGCCATGAAGCTATATAGAGGGATCATAACAAAATGTAGTTAGACAAGATCACCAAAAATCTTGCACGTGATGGTAGTTGCCAATTGTATTTTTTTTATGGTAAGAATATTTTTTAATTATTTTACAGAACATTAAAAAATATTCATTAAGAAAATATTAAAAAAATAATATAAATTATATATTAAGATTTTTTTGAAGTGAATATTTTATAATATATGTGTGTATTTATCTTTTAGATGTATGCGTGTGAGGAGAAATATTAAAAAAAAGTTTAGTGAATGCATCATTATAAAATCAAATATGGTTGATGTATGGTTCTAAGAAATATTAATCCATTTACACCCTTCAAAATGCTCTTTGATCTCGTAAATTAAAGCACAAGCAAAGCTAATCATGAATCCTAAGACCCATCATCAAATAAAAATGATCGTTCGGCTAATTACTGTGTGAGTGCGTGCTCATAGTAAGAGATTGGTCTAATAGTCAATAAGGTTTATTCCTTCTTTTATTTTTTTTAATTCAAGTTTTAGTATTATTACCAAGATATTGTTTTTTATTTCAAATATCATACTAATTTATAAAAGAATATGATATGAAAATCGTCTGAGAGGAAATCTAATCTTTTTTGACATATAATTTAATTTAAAAATAATTTTAACTATTAAATAAAAATTAAATCATGTCTCACATAATCTTAAGTTACGGTTTTCATGTGATGACGGAGTGCTATAATGTGAATATTAAATAATCTAAAAGGAAAAATAAAATGGATATATAAATATACATTAAAAAAAATCTAAACAGGAGATTTCTCTAATTTCCAAACCTTTAAACCCTTAAACAACACTTAATAGGCCCGAATAAACTTAGCCAGGCCCGCTAACAATTAGCAAACCAAACCAAGCCCCACCCAGCCCAGCCCATACAAATCAAACCAACCACATTTCCGGCAAACTACCATAACGGTCACGCCACATCATAACAGAATTCACCACTCACACAGTGCCACCTGCTCACTGACCCCACTTAAACCATAATACTCCCATTTTACCCTCCAACCGCTCTCATATTTTCAAACTCCACCATCCCTCTAATGTAATGAGGCTCTCAAAAAACCTCTTAATAAAATCCACTCTCGTACGTCTCCTCTCATTTATCGTTTTATTCTTCGCCGTCAGTTTTGCATACTTCATCGCAGTCAAAGGCCGATCCTGCGTCTCTAATGACTTCTGCTTCTTTCCTCCACAAAACCTCGACTTCACCATCCACTACCACTCTGCCGCCACCTCCCGTTGCCTCTCCGTATTCCAGGACCTCATCGCCGATGGCTTCCTCTCGCCTATCTCAAAATCTCTCTGCATCGAAACACTAACTGGAGAAGAAATCATAGCTCTGAAAGAAATCGGCGTTGTTGATTCAACCGGAATCTCAAAGAAATCAAAGAAAATAAAGAAATCATCTCCACCGCTGATTCTATCGAACTATTCTCTATCGTTTCATGACAACACTTTCGATTTCCAGTTCACTAACAACCTCGATTGGTCAGGTCAACCCGACGAATTCGGGTCAGAGCTTTGTCGAACTTTAAAACAGGGCGGGTTCTTAGTGATCCATACAAAATCGAGAGATTTATATAGCTTACAATCTTTGCTTGATTTGTTTAATTGCTGTAGATTAATCAAATCGCGTGAAATCAACGGTGTAGATTCAATGTCGACGATGATAACTAGAGAGGTTGTGTTAATGAAAGTAAGAGATTTTTTTGTGGAGGTACAATTTAGGTATTAATTAGCTAAAGAACCATTGAAGCCATGGATTACATTGAAGAGAAATTTCAAGAACGTTAAGTACTTAAGTGATAGTGTTGATATTAGTTTTAAGAGAAAATATGTTTATGTTGATGTTGGTGCTAGGAGTTATGGTTCAAGTATAGGCGGCTGGTTCCGAAAAAGTTATCCGAAACAGAATAAGAGTTTCGAAATTTATGCCATCGAAGCCGATAAGGTGTTTTTCGGGGAATATAGATCGAAAAAGGGTGTTCAGCTATTGCCTTATGCGGCGTGGGTGAGGAATGAGACCTTGTTTTTTGGGATCAGCAGGGTTGTTAATAGGAAAATTGTGGAGAAAGGCAGGGGGGTTGGGAGGATTCAACCGGTGGTGCAATCGTCGATGAGTTATAAGGCAGATTTGGATACGATTGAAGGGTTTGATTTTGCAGAATGGTTGAAAAATGTGGTGGTGGAGAGGGATTTTGTGGTGGTGAAATTGGATGTTGGAGGGACTGAGTTTCATTTGATTCCGAGGTTGGTTGAGACAGGTGCGATTTGTTTGATTGATGAGTTGTTTCTGGAGTGTCATTATAATCGGTGGCAGAGGTGTTGTCCGGGGCAACGAGGTGTCAAGTATCAGAAGACTTGTGATCAATGCTTGCAGCTTCTTACTTCTCTCAGAAAGATTGGAGTTCTTGTGCATCAATGGTGGTGACTAGTAATCGCGTATGCATTTTCTTTTTTGTTCTGATAGGTTGTTCTTAGTTTTTTTGCAGTGAAGAAATTGTAGTTTCTTGTTTTTTTGTCTGGTTTCTTATGTTCTTGAATTGTTACTCAACTAGAAGTTCCATATATCAGAAACTTTGTTTGAGAGAGGCTATCAGTTCATTCTGCTTCTTCATATTTTCTATAACTAAAAGCCTCTCAGGCCTCTTCTCTTTCCAGTAAAAACAATATCACAGGAAAAAATTCGTCTATGCAGCTTAAGAACCCTGCAACAGTTCCTTCGATGAAGGGTTTAGAGCTGGGATTGATGTTGTTTGTCAGGTTGTAGGTATGATTAACTCAAAAGGCCTCTGGTTTGGTTATGACCCTTTAAAGTACACTCTGCCTCTCTTGCTGTTACAGCTTTCTCTTATTTCTATCCTCACGCGTTCCATTTACATCTTTCGCAAGCTCCTTGGCCAACCTTCTGTTGTTTCTCATGTACCTATAAGTTCATCTCTCTACTTGTTCTCTCCCCATGCAAATCGTTTCTAAATGCATCGCTCTGCTGTGAGAGATTTTCATCTTGGGCACAACTTGGCATTTACAGAAAAAATCTCCCCACCAGAAGGAAGAACTGTATACCTTGTCAGAGTTTGGTTTCATGCAAAGTTGTGCTAGCTATAGGAATGTTAGGCTTCTGCATTCCTTTTGTATTGGCATCATATGTCAGATTAGTCCTGTGCCATTCTCTCTCACCGTACGATACAATGTACCACAATTCTAAAAAAGGAAAAGGAACCGGTAAGAATGCCCAGAATGTAGCATATACGTGCACTTTAGGTTGTTATAAACCACATATTAAACCTGATCTCTTCTGCACCTGTTGGATCGAAAACTCGGTCAACCTCTTAATAGGATCCTGTTATTATTTGATAAGCTACAATAAATTAATTAGCAGTTACCACCAATGTATTGCATCTTACAGAGTGAAGATTTTGCTTAATATTTTTTTTAGGAAACTAGAGAAATGAAGTGTAATCCTTTTCCACTATTAAACAATCTTGTAGATGAACTAGCCTGATTTTTAATTGAAAGAATCTCTCTTATTTTATTTATCTGTGGTTATATTTCATATGTGGTAAATCACATGCTTTCCTGTCATAAAACACAAACATTAAATCCACAAAAAATCTTTGTGTACCGCATTTTTTGTAGCTGACAAGGAGGGCAGATAATAGAGGATGAGATTTTTCCTCCTCTAGTAGTAAACAATTTTCGACCCAGAAGAAGTAGGTCAACTGACTCCTGATGGCTAGTGGTATCAGGGCCTCAGAAAAAAAAGAAGAAGAAGCATTAGCACACCCGCACAATCCTCCTGTCCCTTGAAGTCGTTCACACCCTTTTATCTTCTTTATAGGCAAGGCTATCTAGACATCCAAGAGCTTGTTTTTATTGCATTATTAACAATGAATGCATCGAATCCAGACCTTGAGAATCTATGGGTGTGCGAAGGACGTGCTGGTATAGTATCAAAAGGGTATTTTTATGGTCAGAATCCACTTTCCTATACAACTCCTGCTGTTTTGGCACAACTCAGCTTATCTTCATTATTTAATGTCTTGTTACAATACATCCTCACCCCACTTGGTGAAAGCGCTTTCGTTTCATTGCTGCTGGTAAAACTTCTTATTTCCCTGCAAAAAGAATGTAAAAATCTTGTTCTAGTAATTATCTCAATACAATTCATTTCTGGCCGCAATGCGGTGATCTTCAGGTATATAACTCGGTTTATGTCTTGAATTTGGTCAGGTAGGGTTCATCCTGGGACCAACTCTTTGGGGACGTAGTTCATTCTTGACATCAGTTTATTCAATGAAAAGTATCCAAACCAGCTCGACATTTGCTTTCCTTGGATGCATTTTTTATATATTTTTGATTGGAATAAAGATGGACCTGGGGATAGTGAAGAGAGCAGGCAGGAAACCTGTGGTCATAGGCTTCCTTACTTTCTTGTTTCCAGTAACGTTGAACCTGATTGTGGCAGGAATTCTTAGCGGAAAAAGGGAAATGGACCCGGTTCTACTTAAGTCTATTTGGCACGTTGCAATTTTTCAAGCTGTTACCTCCTTTCATGTCATTGTCTGCCTTTTGGCTGATCTGAAACTCGTTAACTCGGAGCTTGGCCAGTTAGCAATATCTTCATCAATGATCAGTGGCATGTGTAGCTGGGGCCTGGTTATTGTGATTTTATTTATAACAGAACTAAAATATGAGCCGTTTTGGATTCTGCTGTGTCCTCTGTCGTTGATTGTACTCATATTCTATGTATTGAGGCCCCTTATGGTTAAGATGATTGCAAAAACCCCTGAAGGAAAACAGGTCAAAGAGGGATACATGTTGTGTATCTTTATCATGGTATTAGGAACTGCATTTCTTAGTGAAGTCTTGGGGCACCATGTGGTATTTGGGGCTACCGCTTTGGGCATCGCAGTGCCTCATGGGCCACCATTAGGAACAGCATTAGAGAACAAGATTGAATCATTTGTTTCTTCGATCCTCCTGCCAAGCTATTTTGTGTTAAGTGTCTCACGCGTTGACCTCCTTTCGATACATTCTGAAACTGTGTTTGTTATCAGTATGTTTGGTTTAACTAGCTTCATCGGGAAAGTTTTGGGTGGCATGTTGCCTGCACTCTTCTTCAAAGTGCCTCCTGTTGAAGCATTTTCACTGGGCCTTGTAATGAGTTGTCAAGGCATATCTGACGTTCTACTCGTACAGCATGGCCACCTCACCTTCGTAATGACCTTACCCGCTGTTTATCCTATTCTTGACATACAAATTCCCTTACTTGTTATAGATTACTGCCTCATGTATACTGTGCCGAAACTAACATGTTTTTGCTTGTCGCGTGCAGCTTGTCGACCGTCAGATTTACAGTATGATGGTCATAAACATGCTTTTTGTGTCAGGAACCTTCACACCTGTAATCAAATTCCTTTACGATCCATCCAGACATTATAAATCCAGCAATAAAAGAACAATCCATCATATTAGTCTCAATATGGAGTTTCGCATTCTGGCCGGCATATATCACCAAGATTCCACGCCTTGTATGATTAGACTTCTCGAGATTTCCAATCCAACAGCCAAGACTCCCATGTGCTGTTACATAGTCCACCTGGTCCAGCTCGTTGGCAGTTCATCCCCACTCTTCATGTATCATGAGCCTGGAGCAACTGCAAAACTCCCCACTAAGGATTGCGGTCGCATCATAAATGCCTTCAGATTATACGAGCAAGAGAGCAATGGTAATGTTATTGTCAACTTATTCACATCCATATCGCCTTTTGCCTCTATACACGAGGAAGTATGTAGGCTTGCCGTGGAGAAGAGAACATCCTTGGTGATTATCCCATTTCATATGCAATGGAGACTTCATGGCATAGAAGACATCACAGAAGCCAGGGCTGTAAACCGTCATATTCTTGCAAAGGCCCCATGCTCTGTAGGTATCTTGGTTGATCGAGGCACCTTAAGTGCCTCCAAACACCATTTTGTATACAAAATTGGAATCATTTTTGTTCATGGAAGAGATGATAGGGAAGCATTAGCATATGGTTTGAGAATGGCGAAACACGCAAAAGTTTCTCTCACTGTGATCCATTTGATCGATCCAGCCGAGGGAGCCGTGCTGTCTCTTGATATGGATCTTGACGATGATATTATCACTGAGTTCAAAGCCGCATCTGCTGGAAAAAAGCGTCATTCCTACATAACGGAATTCGTAAAGGACAGTGTAGAATTGATTACTTTGATTAGATCTGTTCAAAATTCCTATGATCTAATTTTGGTGGGGAGACACCATCGCAGCTTCTCACCAATATTTATGGGACTTACTGAATGGAATGAGTTTCCAGAGCTTGGATTCTTGGGAGACGTGCTAGCATCATCAGATTCCCAGTGCCAGGTTTCTGTGCTTGTGGTGCAACAACAAGTGTATAGAGCTGGAGACAGAATGAATAGTGCCAAAAACCTTTTGGAAGATTCAGCAGAAACTGTAGAAATAATTTTTGAGTCCACCCAAGGGTGGAAAGACATAGATATTAGTAGACATAGGATGCAACCACGCTAGATATCTACTAAATATTTCTGTCTACGTAATGTAATGCTATAGGAACATTTTTATTTTGTAGAGAATATATTTGCTAAATATGGCCTAGGAATCTGAATCGGACTCATGTTAGGTTCCTTTAAGGAGCAACCACAAGCTCTAAAAATGAAAGAAGAACTGATAAGAAGGCCCAGAATACAGAATGTGTACTTTGGTTGCGTAAAAAACATCATAATACTAACATTCTATAGTTGGTACGCTCTGATCTCTTCTATACCTGTCGAACGGAAGCTCCGGCGACAACCTAACAGGATTCTGTCATTGATTGATAAGATACAAGAAATTAACAGCTACCACAAATCTAGCATTATACAAAGTGAAGATTTGTTTAATCTTGTCATGGAACCAGGAAATGAACTTCAATGCTGACAACATAGGTAGCTGAGTTCCATACAGAGATGAGAAAAGGCTATCAGAATTGTAACATTCCTTTCCTTGTTTTCTTTATAACACAGGCCGCGGACCACTTCTAGATTGCAATTTGACATATTTGTTGATGAATCCATTGATCCTTAGATATCTATAGGGTTCTTCTTTCACGTGTCAAATCAGTATCAAAACATCCGAGAGAAAAAACTAACGGTACGTACTTTAGAATAATAAGATTTTGTTGTGATCTCTCCTCTATATGTTCATTGAATTTGCAGCCATCAGGCCTACAACTCTTACTCTTTTCAGTGAATATATTTACTCATTAGAACTTCTTGTGGCTATATCTAGAGGCAGTTGATAAAATATGTAGTTCGTTCTTTGAAATTGATGAATTGAGAGATGCTGATCAGGATAATTTTGAGCCTATCTTGTTAGCAATATGCCAACCTATGCAATCGGTTCTTGCCACTACTTTGTAGGTGACGAAAGAAATTCAAGATGGCACTCAGCCAAACTGCATGTCCTCTACACAGAAAGCACAGCTTTTCTAGCTCCATCCTTCTTTTCTCTTCTTTATGTTAACTACCATCTTGAAAGCTTAAAGGAAAATAGTAAATTAAATGATTCTAAAACAAAGGGACTCTAGGCCTACAAGTAATTTATTTCAGTGGACATGGTACTGGGAAGTTGATTTTGTTTATGAGGTGGAGGGTGTTAAGTAATCATTTTAATCCAAAAACTTAAACAAATAATTTAGATTCTAATAATGATTTTACATTATACTTTAATTAACACTTACATTGTCTCAAATGAAAATCCTACTACTTCATCATTAAAACTCTAATATTTGGATTCCAGAGACATAGAAATGGTTTTATATTACACGGGATGAGATTGTGGCAGAATTAAGGTAATGTGGTCTTCCTTTCAGAAAGGACTGGCTTTGGCCAACCTAAAAAACTTGTTTGCAGATACTTTATACAAAGATTTCATTTTTCATACTAGTTATTGTCGGAGCTCTTCATTCTTAAAAAAGAACAATCTACAAGTGCTTGAAGATTTGCTAAATTTTTCCTATTGTCACTCTGCATGATTGCTGCATCTAGTAACCACAACTTTTAAAATTGGAAAAAGAACAGGAAATTAAGAAAGGCCTCGAATATAGCATGTGTACCTGGGTTGTATAAGCCATTGTTCTAAAATTTAAACTGGAATAGTGGGTCAACTTCAGACGTAGCTAACTCAAGACTTGAACAGATCCAGGTTAAAAAAAAAAAAAATCTGTTAACTTAATCAAAAAACTAAGTTATTCTGGTGACTCAATCAACTCAGGTTTGACCCAGTCAAATATATTTGATCCATAACTCAAGTCTTGTTCCAGGTTAATTATGATTAAGTTTTAAAACTATAGTATAAGTAACATATAACTAATATACTATATAGGTCTTTCTGATTTCTTCCATCCCTTAACAAAAGTTTGGTCAGCCTTTCAATTATAGTTTTGATATGATAAAAGAAATTAAGGAAGAAGGAAATGAACTTCAACAGAGGGTGGAAAAACATAGCTAGAGAGTATACATAAGAGGGAACATAACAAGATACTAAGTATTTCAGTCTGTGTAATGTAAGGATATAGGAATTAGGAACATTTTAATTTTTAAAGAAATTCATGTTGTATATTTTCTTTTAGATATGGACTGTGAATATTTCTGTATCAAATTGATATTAGATTCTTTTATTTTTCTTTCAATTTGAGTCATTCTTGATTGTTGCTACTTCATAGTATACTTGAATATTTTTTAAATTTCATTCTGGTTCATTGTTTTAATTTCAAATACGATATTGAAATTAAAAAATTATTTTGATTTCTGAAGCTTCACTCTTATTCCTCCATTCTCATTTCTGATAGCCAGTATACATCTTAGAGTTCGATTTATGCCCAAACCTAAGATGTTTTTGAAAAGAACCCTTGATTTGTGAAAGACTTGAGATTAATTTAAATGATTAAATTGGGTAGCTTTGCTTAATGTTTTACCTTGAGGACTTAACTGAAAACAAGTTTTGATAGAACCGAGCAACAGGAGTACTGTTAATAATAAAAGAATCAATGTGCCGAACGAAAATCAATGCAAGCTTGTGCCCTGAACATAAAATATTGTGTTCCGGAGTTTAAGAAAGGGATGTGCAGGTTTTTTCTAATAATATTTATGGAGAGTGGGAAGAGGGAATCCATGTGAGGACTGAGATGTAACATTTTAGGGGATTTGCCAGCTTGTTTTGCCTTTATTTTTATGTGGCTTGGAGTTGTCACACTTTGAGGAGTGCTTGCTTTTGGATTTATGTACAAGAAACTTATTGATTAATAATACTAGGACTTGGAGCTTTTGTTCTCCATTTATCACAGTTATAAACTTGGATTGGTTGGTGGATGGATCTGAAAGTTGGTTGATTTAAAGTTTGTGTTGTTTAAATTGAAAAAAAAATAAAAATTGGCCGACTCTACTTAAAACTCATGTTGATTTACTTATGCGAGTTAAAATTTTTGTTAATTTTTTTAATTAATTTTGTTAAAATAAAAATTAAAATATATCCTCTTAACTCGTGACTTTTATTTCAAATCAAATTTTTCAATTATAATTTATCTAAAATACTTAATGTTGTTTTCTTTTCTTTGATAATTTTTTTCATATGATTCAAATCTTGATGTAGGTATATAAGTTTTATCTCTTACTATATATAATTCAATAATTAGAATAGAAGGGCATCATTTTTTTTTAATTTTTTAGAATAAGATAGAAATATATATTCATAGAGTAGGAAATTTGCCATCTCCTTGACAACTGTATGAACTAGTAATTAATGGGTAATCATTATCCTTGAGATGCAATCTATTGGCTTTAACATTTATATTTAGAAATTGTTTCCCAATATTCCCTCTATTGGTTAGTTGGCTGTAAATGTCTTACCTTAGCTAATCATATTTTATACATATTATGGTCTCCACTACCGTGTGCATCGATGATGCTAAGTAAAATTTATGTGCCAAATTCAAATAATCACAACTGTTCTCCACTCCAAGTGGCCTGCCTTTTATTTTTTCAATTCAAATCCTCCATGATAAATGCTTTATTATATAGTTGTAGAATTAATAAAGTCAATTCATACAATAGGACAAAAACTAATGTGAAACTAATCAACAATATTCATGTGTTAATCATTGAAGTAGTTGCACGTAACCTTTCATGTTAATCATTGAGGAAGTAGTCATCATAACCTAAAACATGTTGACATTAAATCAAAACCTAAGATTAGTATGAGCAATCAAGGGTGTTCTTGGATGTATAATTAAGTTATGTAAGAAAAGGGAATCCTTTTCGTGCCAAGCATGTAGTAATTAATAATAACATTAATTATGGAGTAAATCTAATTATAGCTATAATTCCTTGAGAAATCAAATCGAGCAATGGATTTTAATTAACTCCTATGAGATTCCATTGCTCTCCATCAATGGATAACTTGAATCATTTCCGGCCTTGTTTTTAGCTTCTTCATTTCAAACTCAAAATTAAGGGACCATGAAACAATTTTGTCTTAGAAACCCACCAAATTACTTCAGATTATAAATCCAAAAGGCATTGAATATTTAAGAAACATGTATTTACCTAGAACTTGTGGATGTAATTACGAAATATTCCATCAACACAAAGTTCTCTCTCTCTCTCTCTCTCTCTCTCCATCAAATAATAATTTACTTGAAGGTCGAAGAAAAATGGATCACGATCCGATGAATATTGAAAATCTCAATCTGCCGCTATTATATGCAGATTGAAAAAAGAAAATTAAAATATAAAATTTATACAAAAAAAGAAAAGAAGAAAACCAGTATAACCCCACGTACATTGAAAAAAAAACGTCCCAGTTGCAAATAATTGTACCCCTTTATCTACTCTGGAGAACGTCAAAATCCGGCACCGGAAAAAACTTTAGTCCTCGGAGATGCTTTGTAAATGAGGCCGCCATACTCCGACACGACCGGTCCGTCGATCACGACGAGAGGATTTCTTTTCGGAGACTATATCGGTTAAGTAACGATCACAATCTTGTGCATCTTTATTGTTACAATATCTTTTGCTCTTCTTTGACGTGGATTTCATCTGGTGGCCACAATTATTACCACTTTTTTTCTTGTCACCAGGCAATGAAGAAGATGGGATCAAGAAATATATGCTGCCTCTTTTGAGCTCGGATTCCGGCGAAAGAATCAAGATTTTACGCACAACACCTTGAGAAGAAGGTTTGCTAAGAACATGATTAGGGTTTGCTTGAAGGACCTCAGCAGCTGTGATTGGACCTGTTATTTCTTCCACGTAGCCATTCAAATGAACTATACGGATCAAGTCTAGGGCACCACAAGGAAGAACACAAGCCAAACAACACCTTAAACTATTGCCCATTTCTATGGAAATCAAAGGGCTCTCTCTCTCTCTCTCTCTCTCTCTCTCCCTTTGTGGTGTGGAGTTTGGAACCCTTTATTGTGACTCTACTTTTTTCCTTCTTTCCTTGGTAAGAATGTGACCAACGGAGGACAA